AAGTCCAACAGCGTCTGTGCACAAAGTCCCATGGGACTTTAACTTAAGGTTAGGGCCAGCAACCCTTGGGGGGGTAGGGTTAAACTGAGTCACATCGCAAGAGAAGAGCTGATTTTAGTGTGTCTTTTCTAGCTCACTTGAGAAACAGTTCTGTTCAAAAGAGGTATTGAAGACTCATTTTGTGGGGCCCCAGTCACATGAGGGCAGGCAGCACTTGTGTAGGTTCCGAGGTTGAATAAGACTCATTTTGTGGGCCCCGGTCACATGAGGGCAGGCAGCACTTGTGTAGCTTCCGAGGTTGAATAAGACTCATTTTGTGGGGCCCCGGTCACATGAGGGCAGGCAGCACTTGTGTAGCTTCCGAGGTTGAATTAATACATATTGTACTCAATTTACCTGTGCAAGTGGAACGTTGTGCCCATTTAGACGTGTGTTGACATTTAAAATTAGACTGGCATCAGGAGTCAGAGAAAAACCAGTAAAGCATTCATGGTATTCTGACTCTACTTGGACTTGTCCAGATTACTCGGCTATGGCTTGGAGCAATATGTCTGCCTATGGAAGCCCACTAACTAGTGGCTGAACTTATTTTTCCATGGATGTGTGTGCTGTTGCTAGTCGTAGCCAAGAAATTTGGATGCAGCTCATCAGAAAGATTGTGGCCGTGTTGAGCCAATGTCAGTTTTGTTTCTTGTCACTTTCCAGAGCCCAATGCGGTTCTTGACGCCGCTCTGGAGAGCACCGTAGACGCCGTCATTGTGTCCTGGACCCACCCGCAGGGCGAACTGTCCGGCTATAAGGCTCGCATATCCCCTTCGGATGCCAAGAAGTCGGTGGTGAAGATCAAGGACCCCAGTAAGACCAGGACGGAGTTCGTGGGGCTGGCGCCGGCCAAGCAATACAAGGTGGACGTGGTGACAGTCAGTGGGGAAGTGGAAAGCGAAAAGGTCACGCTACAAGAAACGACAAGTACGCATTTCTTCTCCCTTTGAGCATAGTCATTTACCTTGTTCTCCATTTTTCACGCTCCTAGTTATAGCTTTGATGTCACAAAGGTGCTCCTGCGTAAGGGATGCAAAAACTTGCCCCTTATTTCAGGGGATGAAATCTTTCAAAATTTCTCCTGATTTCAAGACTTTTCCATCAGGACTTTCCTGATTTGGGGGTTTTTAAAACAGATCTCTTTCAAAACTGGACAATACTTAGTTTGCCATTAAGGTGTTTTTATGTGAAAAAGTTGATGCAGAACAGGGACTGGATATTAGAAAGGGTGTCTTTAGGCGAAAACAAATGACCCAACACTGCTGTGGGGCTCTGAACACCTGCTGTGATTATTTTGTGTTCCTCCAATCTCAACCCCGTTATCTTTCTAGCTACGTCCGTGGCAATGTTTTATTCGACCAGAATAAATTTCCCTTGCTTGTGTGATGCTTCCCCTCCGGTAGAAATGCCAGAAATCCACGTTCTCAAGGTACCCAACGCGGAGGCCACCAAGGCCACCAGCGAGTCCCTGGCCGTGTCCTGGACCAAGCCGGAGGGAGATGTCACTGGCTACCGGCTGGCCATCCTGCCAGCCGAGGGCGCCACGCCCGACCTCAAGTTGGACGGCGCCGACAAGACCACGGCCGAGTTCAAAGGGCTGTCGCCGGGCCAGGAGTACACGGTGGAAGTCTACACGGTGTATAAGGAACAAGAGAGCGAGAAAATGACTCTCACAGCCAGAACAGGTTAGTAGAAATGCCGTCAGTACATGACTCCATATCATTTCACACATCATCTGTTAGTTTTTAGCAAATATGTATAAAATATTTCATCAAAATCATTTGTAAGAACAAATTAATTTTGTGAAATTGTTTTTGTTTGTATCTACATTTGTCAATTCAGTTTCTTGTTGGCCTTTAATTGCTCCCTCCGTTCTCATTTCAAATTTGCATTCATTACATATTTTGCATTCAGTGTGGGAAGTTCCTCGGCTAGATATACAAACAATACTTCAGGCTCTGGCTGGTTTCCAGGAATCTGTGATTCATTTGTGCTGTAAAAATTCTCTGTTGTTGATTTGTTTTCTTTTAGTGCTTTGGGTAGATGTGTGATGACCTTGCATATATGTTTGCCCCGGAATTTTTCTCGATAAAACACTTGAAATGCAAGAGAAATATTCTCAGTTGGTACTGAGTTTTTACTATCATGTTAACTTGTATCGCATTGACCAACATCAACTCAGAACTGGCCAAGGTCAACAAGGTCCGCAAGCCAGCAGCAGAGGCGACCATGGATACGGTCACTGTCTCTTGGAAAAAACCAGAGGGTGAGGTCACCGGTTACCGGCTAACCTGTGCCCCGAAGGGGGCCAAAGAAGCTGACGGCAAGGAGCTGCGTCTCGAGGATGCAGGGGCCAAAACCGCCACCTTTGAGGGTCTGTCCACGGACACCGAGTACGTGGTCAAGCTCTACACGGTGGCTGGCGATCGAGAGAGCGAGAGGGTGAAAGTTAACGCGACTACCAGTGAGTTTTGAGGACTGGAGAATGCAGTGGCGAACACCGATTGGTGTGCTGTGGATTGACAAGCACTCAAAGCTCCTGTTCTCTCTCTGCGGGGTCCCATCTGTTAACGTCTCCTAACATGGCACCACTCTTTTATAGTGCATTGATCTGTGCAACTGCACTCTATATGGCCAGTTTTCTTATTGAGTCACATTCAGTTTTAGGTAAGTCTAAGAGATGACTGTAGTGAACTATAGTTAGACTAACACCTCCTGAACAGTAGATGGTTTGGACTATCTTGTCAGCCATTTGGGACTAGGCTCCAGGGCATGGTTGCATCACTGGTAATCAATAACCCATTTCATTTATCATTACAGAGGGAACCATTCACATAAAAATAACTATACCAGATTTCAGTGACCATGTACATGTACACTGCGAGATTCGCAGCCAAGGTGAAATATAACAATGAGATTTTAAACAATAGGTTGACTCGGGTCGTCCAAGTAACTGAATTGCGCGAGCGCACCGTTGCAAAGCTTTTGACTACTGGTCAAACTTGAGTTCACGCCCGAACTTGCCCTGTTCTCCTGTGTAGCTTTCACCACCCACAGATCAGTTGCATTAAAGCTTGCCAGAGATGCCAGCTGGTACAGACACCAGGTGTACAAGCAAATTGTCAACAGCCGACTTGAGCGTCTTCCATGCTGTCTAGAAAGGGCTTCCTGAGTTGGGCAGCATACAAGTCCCGCTTGGCTGGCGTGTTGCATGCTATGAGTGTACTCCCATATTTGCTTCCCTTAAAGTTCAGGCCCACAACAGTAACACCTCCCATAGAGGAGCCATTTCGTAGCCTAATCTAAAACTCTTGGTTTTATAAAAGCGAGTTGACACATGTGAAGACTGTAGCTAAATGTGGAATTACTTTTCATGGTTACTAACTGTAGGCTGCGTAGGAGCTTATGTTCAATGCAACATGTCGTCTGAGAAACTTGTTCTCTTATTTTTTATCACAAATCGAAAATCCATGTACAAAGCCTTGCGCAGTAAGGAATTCCCACTTTTCCCCTAACTTGTCAGTTTTGTATGCCGATATTGACCCAGCAAAGGCCTCGGACATTGAGGTTTTTGCGACATTGTCTCTGTGTTCCTGCACAGCACGGTACTTTCCTCCTCACGTTTGGTGTGCTTGCGTCCACTTCCCTGCTCGAAGCAGGGGCTTCATTCATTTAATCCCGTCCCGATCCCAAACACAGAGTCGGGGACAGTTCCCACGGTGACGGAGCCAAAAGCCGAAGCAGGCACAGACAGCGTCCTGGTCTCATGGACCAAGCCGTCCGGAGAGACGGTCACGGGCTACCAGCTCGCGTGCCGCCCCAAGGGGGCTGGGGAGGAGGTCGCACCCCATCAGATTACCCTGGACACAGGTGACGCCACGCAGGCCACATTCGAGCAGCTGGAGGACGGGAAGGAGTACGAGGTGGAAATTGTCGCGGTGTTGGGCGAGCGGAAGAGCGACGCCGTCACCATTGCAGCACAGACCAGTGAGTCACATGCTTCACATTGCGTGAAAGAAGCCGTAAACAAATCAGTTCCAAACAGCATTTTTTTTTATCAGGAATGATGCAATTCCAAAATGTTGCCTGTCTGCACAGATGCACAAAATTGGCCCAGCATGCTAATTTGCACTGATTATATTCACGTTCACTTCTGAATTATTTCCGACTCTCTGGGGCTGTATACGAAACGACAAGCACATGCATATGTGACGTCAAACCTAACCAAGTGTGGGCCGCAGTTTCACAATGTCCCGACACAAACTTGACAGAACCAGAGATTGCCTACTCTTATGCCAGTCCTCCGTTTCGGAGTTTGCAGAATGGCTATTTTGTGAATCAGACTGAATTCTTGTTACGCACACGTTGTGTCCTGGTTGGGCTGGTCTTCGTTTTCGAGGAGCAACTATTCTGTCGCTCAGGGTTGGAAATAGGGAGTTTGTGTTTTACCTTGTGCATCTCCCATCAAGATAGGAATCGGTAACCTTACAAATTGTTTTAACTTGTACATAAGTGCATCTCTGTCATTTCTAACAACAATGCAGAAGTTACTAAGGTGAAAAAAGTCCGGAAAGCATCCGTTGTTGAGACGGGCACAGGAAGCGTCTCTATCTCGTGGAAGAAACCTGAAGGGAATGTCTCAGGGTATCTCGTCACTTACTCGGAGACGGCTAGCTCTCCAGAAGACAAGAAGAGCAAATCAAAAAAGTCCAAGAAAAAGAAGAAAAAGGAAGAGGAGACAGATGAGACTACCGTTGAGGGGGAGGATACAGAGAAAGACGATTCCACCGAGAAGGATGCAAACGAGCAGAAGCCTGCCAAGACGAGAGAAGGTGGCAGGGACATCAAGATTGAAGACCCAGAGAAGACTGAGGCGCTCTTGGAGGACTTGAAGCCCAATGCGGAATACACCGTCAAGATCTACGCTCTGGACGGAGATAGAAAGAGCGACAGTGCGAAGCTGACGGCAAAGACCAGTGAGTCCCGGTGTGCAAGCCCAGACACGTTTCACAGTTTGTGGTTCTTCAGCACGATTTTCCCCCCCCCCCCAAATGCACTGAATGGGATGCAGTTGACTGCCAGGACATGTCCCCATGGTGTATTGTGCCGTTGTAGGGATGACATGCTTTTGTGATTTGTTGTTTTAACCAAACTGTCTTCTCCACAACAGGTCCCAGTGGCGGTCAGATTTGCTAGTCCTTTCTTCATGCTCATCAAGATGTACTCAATAAACTTAAACCTGTAACCTGCGTGTTGTTTACTAACCTAACTTTGGAAATGAAATTGGTTAGCTCAGGAGATATGTGTCTGTTCGTATTCATATATGATTATGAATATGTCAAAGACATTTTCATTTGGAGAACCAAAAAAATGCTGGAAGAATAGCTAGTCTGGTTTTTTTTTTTACTTGGGGAAATCTCATCTTTGGGGAGTTTGGGTGTTTGTAACTGTAACATTTGATCCGCTGTTTTAGAACAACTTGCCGAGCTGAGCCCAGTCCAGGATCTGTCCTGGGAAGCCTCCAAGACATCAAACTCCCAGGTCATCTCCTGGAAGCTGTCTCCTCAAAACGAGGGCATTAGCATCTCCGGATACCGACTGACATACGGTCCCAAAGAACAAGCATCACAGGAAGACAGTCCTGCCCAAGGAGAAGACAAGCAACCAGACAGCAAAGAGGAGACCGATGACAAAACAGAGAGCAAGGACGAAACTGGTCCAAACTCTTCCCCTCTCAAAGAAATCCAGGTAGCCGGGGCAGACACGCTGTCGGTAGAGTTGAGTGATCTCAAGATCGGACGGGAGTACGTCGTGACGGTGTTTGTCGTCAGTGAGGACGGGCTCGAGAGTCAGGGTACCAGCGTGGAGGTCATTCCAAGTAAGCAGCAACTGGGTGGCCCGCACATCTACGTATACTTCTGTTGCACTTTTGCACATCACTGGTTTCTGTGTCATATACCAGCAGTCCACGTCATCTTACAGAATATACAGGTTTATGTGGAAGTTAATTAATTATAAGCCCATCTAAGCAGTATACATGAGCATGTATGGTGTACGCTTAGCAAGTTTCCTTACTGGGGAATAATCAAGTCTAAGGTAGCCATTAAATTACATTTATAAAGTAGTTGGCAATCTTTCTTGCTGAGCGAAATTCCTCTGCGTGGCTTGTGAATACACGAAGCAGCTTCACTGTTTATATTTGCCACATACCTGTACGTGTATGTGCATTGTCATAGATGCTGTTGGCATGTGTCAGGTACATGTAATTAAAGAAATTGTTGATGTAAATTTTAGATGCCTTGAGATTGACCACCTCTAATGCAGTGTTGGAGGGATTCATTTCAACCTTTTAGTACTCATGGGAGAAACACAGATTTTTTGACAGAATGGATGTCTAAATAAACAGAAATCCCACGTTTTGCCAAAACTTGTAGAAGCTCCTAAGGTGAACAGAGTGAGGAAGGCATCAATTGTCCAGACAGGAACGATGAGCGTCACCATCTCGTGGAAGAAACCCGAAGGAGACATCTCGGGGTATCTCATTACCTGCTCGGAGACGACCAGCTCTGAGACAGAGTCGCAAGACAAGAAGAGCAAATCGAAGAAGTCCAAGAAGAAGAAGAAGGAAGAGGAGGAAGAGAAGAAAGATGAGACCAAGCCGGACGAAACTGCCCAGAATGAGGACGATTCTCGCAAGGAAGACTCCTCGGAGAAAGAACCAAAAGAGAGGGCGAAATCTGCCAAAGCCAGGGGAGACACCAAGGAGGTCAAGATCGAAGATCCGGAACAGACTCAAGTCAGCTTGGAAGACCTGAAGTCTGACACCGAGTACACCATCAAGATTTACACTCTTGATGGCGAGAGAAAGAGTGATAGAGTCAAGCTGACAGCGAAGACGAGTGAGTCCTAGCGTGTCCACTTGTGTGTGATTTTCTGCACGGTTTGTACAGTTTTATCAGCACACAGTCGTCTGCAGCAAGTACGGTAGCTTTTGTCACATGCACAGGTGTAGCCCCTTTATACGAATCTGTAAAGGGGTATTCACTGGTTGGACACACACACCCTTACATATGTATACTTGTGGGGTATTTCCTTTGTTCTCGTGTACAAAACTCCCACACAACACGGACAAAATTTCAAATCACTGCCATTTCAACCAAATTCAGTTTCCTGGGTTGAAATTTCGACCGTATGTCCCTCATTTGAAACACTTCAATTTGCGACGGATGAGTGAGACTTGAAAATTCCTCCTTTTTGAGTAAATTTGAAACATCTATTTCGTGAAATTCTTGTGGGGTACCACTTTAGTACCCCACGAGGATCAAAACTATCCCAGTGGGGTACCTTCCATTGTTCCGGTACCGGGCAAGGCACCATGTACAAGCGCACTGAAGTTTGTATCAACAATGTACATATCGTGCTTCAATTCTTCCCAGCTACTGGTTTGATCCCAACATGCTGGATCTGGTTTTATGTGCTTACTAACAATTTCACGTTGATAATGATAGTTTTGAGAAATATTTTCATTCTAATACATTGTATTTCTGGCACAGCTGCAGCGACTGTTCCTGAAG